GAGCGAGACTACGTACCCGTGCTACTGAACCCAGGTGGTTGGGAGAGGAACCGAACCCCAGACGGCCCAGTTGCGGCCTTGCTCACAGTAGGCATGATGCTTGCTTGAAGATTCCGCAAGGGTTGCTTGAAGTCTGGTGTTAAATCTAATTTTGTCGTCCCTGAAACGAACATCGTTTTTTTTTGGGGGGGGGACCAAAATCTCAAGTCAATCCATGGAATTTCATGGCATAAAATCAGTTTCCGCAGAAATCGCCTTCATCTGCAGAAATCACAGAGTTCACACTTTTGCTTGCGGAATCTCAGTTTTGCCTGCAGCAGGCAGCCATCGAATTTGCACAGGCCCAGCCTGCGGCATTGAGGCTGCCATTCATGCCATGACGGATGTGTACAACTCCCCTGACCTCAACGGCGTGCTGATGGCTGACGCCACTTACGCCTTCAACAGCCTCAACCATGCTGCATGCATTCCCAACATCCGCCTGCTGTGTCTAGCCCGAGTTTCGGTTGTCATCAACTGGCACCGCGGTCCAGCCAACTTGCAGGTTGGAGAAGAAGTTGGTTCACTGACTCAGGGATCCACATCACACAAGAGGGCCATAGATACCTTGGCGCTGCCATCGGCACACCGGAGTACTGCCGGTACTTTGTCCAGAAGAAGCGTGAGGAATGCCATGGCTTGCTGAGGTAGCTATCACCACAGAGTATGCACACATACAACCTCAGGCAGCATAGTACCTTCACCAAAGGCTTCCAGCACAATCGCCTTTCACCTGTCGAACACTAGGAGGAGTGGCTGACCAGCTTGAATCACTGGAACATCACATCACTGCAAAGCTCATCCCTGTGCTGACTAGCCAGCACATCGACCAAGAGTACTTTAGCCTCATTGGTTTTCAAGGGCCCTGTCACCATGGAGGTCTTGCCCAGGTGGATCCTACATCTCTCTCCACTCAATACTCGGCTTCTAGGCACATCCCTGCCGCACTAGTCCACCAAATGAACACTCGGACTGGTATCCTGGGAAAGTCATTGGCTATGGTCAGGGAATGCAAAGGTTAGGTAAGGAGCGAATAGCGAAGGTCGTTGGCTCACCGTGCCATGGAAATCGCAAAATTAATGATTCATCTCCTCAAGGCCAACGTGCAATTGGCAGCGAGAAAGGAACCAGAGTCTAGCTGCCTCACATGCCGCCCACTGGCACATCATGGCTTCGCCCTGTCCAAAGACCAGTTTTGTGATGGGCTGGCCCTTTGTTATGGTTAGCACCCAGACCGACTACCGTCAGCCTGCTCATATGGTGCAACATTCACTGAGTCTGGTGATCATGCTCTCTTCTGTGCTACTGTTGGCTTCATTGTAATGCGGCACAATGAGGTGAGAGATCTCACGGCACAGCTACTCGGTCGTGTGGCGCATGACGTCAATGTTGAGCCATCCCTCCAGCCCTTGACGGGGGAGTGTAGCATGGCTTCTTTATGACACGTAATTTGTATACACATAAATAGTACACCGTAGGAATGCATGGATAGCAGTGCGCATACTCGCACTGCCTTGTCTTCTTCTTCTCCTTGTGAGACAATGAACGAATGATAACTACTTACGTAACTACAAGTATGATTGTGCTTTGAGTGCTGAGAGTATACGAGTTACAATGGTGGCAGCGGTGGGATTCGAACCCACGCCTCCGGAGAGACTGGAGCAATTGCGCTATCGAACGGCTGTGCGGGAAGACCTGGGTCGGCTGGATGATGTCGCAAGTGGAGTCTACGGCGGCCGGTTTGAACGGAGCTACCTTGACATCCGGGTCTTCAACCCGCACGCTGCATCAAATCATTCATCATCTGCGGCATCCTGCTACAAGCGACACGAGCGTGAGAAGTGCCGGGCCTACGGAGAAAGGATCTGACACGTTGATCGCGTAGGCGTCATCCCTGTGGTCTTCTCAGCACATGATGGCATGGGCAATCAGTGCATAGCCTCAATGTTATCCGAGAAGAACCGTGAAGCCTAGCGCCTACTGGCGTCCGTCTTAGCCTGGATTCGTGCCCGGCTGGGTTTCTCCCTCCTGTGTGCCAGTGTTGCCGGTCTGCGCGGTGCCTGCTGATTGGCCCACTGCCATCACCTTGTCTCCACTTCTGCAGCACTGTCGGTTGCTGAAGCTCGGTTTGTGATATAATCCCAGGTGCAGTATGTTTGGGACTTGAAATGAATGGATTTTTGCCATCACATAAACTTGTACTTGAAGTACAGTCATGTACATGTACAAGCCCATGAAAACATGTGTATGGCCATACAAATTATGATTTTGTGTTCGTGTTTTCCTCTCTTATTGCTTTTACACCCGCCTGTTCTGGCATGGTCCATGTTTTATTGTATTTTGGCTTCGAAGTGTCTGTCCCCTTGGAAAAACACGATTCTGCGGCAGCAGCAATTTTCACAGAAACTGCCATTATCCTTGGCCGGAAAATCACAGAAAGCAGCATCGGTTTTAAAGCTTGCACTGAGAGCCATTAAAATCGGCATTAGACTGTGTTCACAGCGATTTTTTTGGGGTAAATTACTTAAATTACTACTCAGAAAGCAGCAGAAAAACTACTTTGCAATCTGTTTGAGCACATAACATGTGACATTTCTCTTGCCAGTGTAGGTCTCTCCAAGATTCTTCACTCTCATTCGGTGACTGCAAAGGATAGTATGAAAAGTGCTCCTTCATGCGAGGAGGATGAAAAACTTGCAGAAAATGCCGCAGAAAACCCCTCTCTTCCCCGCGAAATTTGCCGCGGAATTTTGAATTCTTGGCCGCGTTTTCCCAAAGGGACAGCATAATGGCCTGTTTTCGCCCGCATCATTTTAGGATTTCGTCCGCGTTATTCTGTGGGGACAGTGTACTCCATTTGTGTACGTCGCGCGTCACAAAAGTTGTCCTTTCTTCAACATACATGTATGTGATAGGTGCCTTGCGCGTGCAACTGTACGCGACAGCTCCCGACAAGCAACTGTCGCACATCGCGTCGCAGAAAGTTGTACACTGTATTGTGAATCGGCGGAAGCAAAAAAATTCGTGATTTGGCCCAAATCCGCACTTTTCGTCGCATTCTTTGTTGTTTTCAGCTGCAATTTCTTGCACAAGTTTTCGAGAATTTTTCCGCAAATTCCCACAGGGACAGCATAATACTCAGAATTGAGCTCTACGCATCTGTGGGTGAAACGGTTCCATTCATGCACATGAACTTGTGGGCAAATTTGCAAAATTATTACACAGAAAGCAGCAGAAAAGCTACTCGGGATCTATTTGAGCACATAATCATTGCTCTTGCCAGTGTACAATGTAGGTGAGCCGGAGTGCAGGTCACTCAAAAACTTTTCACTGCTGTTCAGTTTGTGATGACAAAGGATAGCATAGTGTGGAAGTGTGTGGCCACGACCAGAGTACCTGTGACATTGGTGACGAGATACAGTAGAGTCCCGTGTCCAAGAACGTTGTTTCCCAGGGGAAAGCCTGGGGCGTTCTTATTTTCAGCAATCTGGCTGCGTTCTTAGAAACAATTTCTACTGGATCATATCAAGAGTAGATAAACAAGAGTGTGCAACTCCGGATCTCTTCTGCACAATTGCAGATACCCCCGCCCACGGCGGAATGTTTTGTTGACGTCACCTTTTTTCAGAAGAACGCGCATTTTGCCCCAGAGCAGTGTGAGAGCACGTCCTGGGCACCGACTTCGTAATGTAAAGCCCGGCCAAGTGCACGAGGCAAGACTTTCCAAAAGACTCGCAGCGCGTGCATTGTCGAAAAAATTCCGCCGCGGGCCAACCCATCCCTGAGTTGCACACTCTTGTTTATCTACTCTTGATCATATCAAGAGTACATAACCCCCCAGAGTGTGCAACTCCACTATGGGTGCTGTCCCGACAGAATTTCAAGTTGACGTCATTTTGATGATGCAATGCGCACTGTACACGGATTATCAGACGAATCCGGAACCTGTGGTTGACCGAAGCCGATCGATCCTGTACAAATTATTGCAAAGAAAAACGTGTGATGCATTGACACCCGTACACATGTTGTAAATCACTGGTGCAAGGAGCATTGCGTCATAAATAATGACGTCAACTTGAAATTCTGTCGGGACAACAGGGTATGTGGGAGTTGCACACTCTGGGGGGGTTATGTACTCTTGATCATATGTATCCCAAAAGCTGCCGGAACCAATAGCTGTGGCGTTCTTGGACTCCACGTTCTTCGCCGCGCGACTACTGTAGCCAGCTGGGGTACATGTAGGTCTAAAGGAGCACACAGAACTAACTTGAGAAGTTTTCGCGCTTGCCTCCATTCGCTGGAAACAGGAGAGGACAGGTCACTGTACTGGCAAACGTACAATACTACAAACCTATAACCTACGGCACATTGGTGGGCTTTCTCAAAAGTTCTGTTCACAAACCAACCACTATCGACAAGCCTGTAGTTCGGATCCTGAGGATTTGTACAGAACTGCTCTGCAGCATACACCAAGAAACAATCAATGTTTTCCATAGGATGGTGTGTCTTCAACTAATTCATTTTCCCAGAAACAGTTATGGTGCAAAAAACACCAAAATGTGTGATATTGCATGTTGAGATGGAGAGTGAAGAAGTCACAGAAGGTAGCACAGGTGCATGTAGTCCAGAAGTACCAGTTTCTACCAGGCACCGATAGAGTCGTCGACCTCCTCTTACGGCGCTCTATGAGAGTCACAATGTACTTCGAAGTAGATTTGCTTGGAAAAGACAGGAACGGAAATATACAGGTACATGTTTTCAAGACCGATCTCGTTGAGTCTCCATTCCGCAATACTACAACAACTTCCTCGTCAACACTCAATCACTGCAGCATTACGTTAGTCTTGTAAAGAACAAAGGGTCAACAAGCAAGAAAGAACCCGGCCAGATAGAAGATGCCACCCTTTTATTTCTACTCTTCCTCCACATCCAGAGTTTGCATGAGCAGAGTCACAAAGTTTTTCGAGTCGCCATTTTTGAATGGCGTGCCGAGCATGCGCAAAATGGTGTAGAATCGAATCTTTCTTTCTTTTGCGTGTTGCCGGCGTTTGGGAAAGATGGTGAGCTTTCTTTCTTCCCGAAAAACTGAAGCAATGGAGCCGTACCTAGTAGCTGTTCTGTACTTTTGTTGGTTGAAAGGGCATCGACATTAAGAAAAGGACCCGTACCGTGGCCCGCAAGGAGCCTCGCACCGAGGATGTCTACATCAAGCTCCTCGTGAAGGTAGGTATTGTGTAGTAGTTTCCACTAACGGATGGACATCACAGTGAACATGGATGTGCGTTCATGCTGCCTGTTCTGTAGCTGTACCGCTTCCTTGCAAGAAGGACCGACTCTTCCTTCAACAAGGTTGTGCTGAAGCGCCTATTCATGAGCCGCATCAACAGGCCACCAATGTCGATCGCTCGTCTGGTAAGTAAATCCATTGGTTATTTGTTCAAAAATAATTATTGTCAATGGCCAGATGAAAATATTATAATGGGAAGTGAATTTTGATGTTGAGAAAAGTAGTGCGAGTTTCTGGGCGTACTGCTTGGCAATGTGCACCTGCAGGTCAAGAAGATGAAGAACCCAGCCAACAAGGGCAAGACTGCCGTCATCGTCGGTACCATCACCAACGATGTCCGCATTCTGGATATTCCTGCCTTGAAGGTCTGTGCCCTGCGCCTCACTGAGGGCGCTCGTGCCAGAATCCTGAAAAACGGTGGTGAGATCATGACCTTCGATCAGCTCGCCCTCAAGGCACCCCGTGGCCAGAACACCGTCATTCTGCAAGGTATGGACATGTTCCTTCGAACGCTTAATCTTAATTTGCACTTAGTTCCCAGACGTTTTACTATCAGCTGAGTTTGGCGTCCACACCACTGCATGGCTTATGGGAACTTCGTACAGGAATGTAATGTGTAAAGAATTTGCCTTTGGAGACCTGATGAGGGAACTACAGTCAACTTCGCTAATAACGACTGCGAATATAACGACAATTCGCGAATAACGACAGAATTTCCATGCCCAGAGCAAAGTTCCTTCCAACTGTAATACACATAATGATACTTCGGGTATAACGACACTAATAAAAAATAATAAGGACACTTTTTTGATGCCCCGCCGAATGTCGTTATAAGCGAAGTTGACTGTATCAGTATATCGCCACAATCCTCCACAAACATTACATCAGTTCTATACATGTCTGCATGCTCATGCGCTCACATGGCACTCATTCCCAACCCCACATATCAGTGATGCACCGTACCCCACAACATTACGTGTTCTGCCTTACTACTCGTGGGGCATTGGTTCATGCCAGTATTTGAACCTTAATGTGCAGTTGGAATCTAGGACAACCTTTACAAGATTTCGCTTTGTGCAATGCTCACACAACACGTGCTACCGCTCATTTGCAAAGCTAATTTATTAGTTTCAGGGAGGCGGTCAGACACAATTATTTATGGCCTGGCACTGGTGACAGTAGTACTTTTGTTCTGTCGACCCTTACCCTGATCAATTTCCCGGATGCACCAAACTGGCAATTTTCCTAAGTCTTCTGTGCCCAGGGTCCTATCCACAGGAGTGCTCGTGCATATCTAATTGCATCGCACTATTTGTACAATGCTGGTTAATGAAATCCGTTTTCGGGGTGCTGAGTCGACTGGTTTTGGTCCGAAAAGGCTGCGATGCAGCGTTCCTCCTTTATTCCCAATCGAACATGGTTGAACAAGCGGTATGTGCTCCTGGATGCCCAAATCACCTGGTCACCACGCCAGCAGGCGACAACTTTCACACCAAGGTTCAACTCTAGTGACAGGACTGCACCCAAAAAAGGTCAAACAGGCTAGTAAGTTGTACCCTGCAGGCACGGTGACCGGGTGACTAGCGTACGCAGGAGCACGTGACCGCTTGTTCAACCATGTTCGATTGGGAATAAAGGAGGAACGCTGCATCGCAGCCTTTTCGCACCAAAACCAGTCGACTCAGCGTCCAAAAGAGTACAACATATGGGCCAATCGCGGTCATCCATGCTTTTATAAGAACGAAATGGCGCTTTTAGTGACATTTTGCATACAAATCCTCATCTAGTAGGGCGCAGTCACCCAGTTTCGGTGGAAGTGCGCGAGTTCGATTGGGATTCAAGTAGGAAGGGAGCGTCTCAGCTTTCTCGGACCAAGACCATTCGACTCAGCACCCCGAAGACTACAACTGGTGAAATTTTAATTTTTGCCTTAACTTCCCCTTTAACTACATGCACTGCACTGGCATTATTCATAATCAATGCGCTGACGCACTGTGCTGCCTGGGAATAGCATCACTGAATCTGTAATGTAAGCATCCTGAGCTCTCTGAACCTGCCCGATCTACGCAGTAAAACTCCCTGCACACACTGATAGGTGAAATTTTGATTTTTGCCTTAACTTCCCCTTTAAGGTGCACCGTAGCGTGTATATCTGTGCACGCGTGTCGTATGGTGGTTGTCACTGGTGCTCGCTTGTGCAGCTGAATTTTTTTTGTTCAACTGGCATTCTGTCTGTATCCGTTGCATCAAGAGGACATGAACAAGAGTGTGCAACTCGGCAGTTAGCTGGTCAATGGCGTGGTCCGTGGCAAATTTTTTGTTGGTGTTACCATTTCCAGACACTGTGCCTCATGTCGTACAAAGTATGCTCTGGAAGACTGCCTTCATCATGAGTTTGTGTCTTTCAAAAGGAAAATTAAATTCACCATACTCTTAATGGAAGTTTAGAACCCTGTAGTGTTCACGCGACCACAGACTAGCAGTGCTTGCCTTGTACGGTGTGACTCATGCTCCAGGAAAGGTGACTTTGGCCGTGGGCCAGACCAAGTGGAGCACTCTTGCCTCTCTCTTGTTTATGCACCTTTGTGCCTCTATATTGCAGTTTTCACTCACCATGCATAAATGCTGTTTTGTGTGTTTTATAGGACCCCGTGCTGCCCGTGAGGCTGTCCGTCATTTCGGTCGTGCCCCAGGTGTACCCCACAGCAACTCCAAGTAAGTTTTTGTCCTCTCTTTCCCTTTTTTTGTGAATGCCGACCCTGGAGTGGCTGTGGTTGAGCGATGAATTGAGACTCTGTGCATAGACCCCAGAAATAGTACTCGCATCTTGATCCGAGTCTATCCTTGCACATCGGGATACATGTCCATTTTTCTTGAAAGCATGTAAGGGCAATTTTCCGAACTCTTGAACACATAAAAAAATAGATAATAGTATCCCCTGACTAATTATCATTTGTACGTTGTATGCATGCTGGAGAACAAGTTAGAACAAATACAAACCCTTCTTGTGTACGAATTGTTTTACCTTCAAACAGGTTTCGTCATGGGATTGTGAACTTGCGTCTGGTGTTACAGTGCACAGTTTATGGACTAACTGATATGAATTCAAGTGTTCAAAAACTGGGATCTGTAGAATCTATTTTTGTATATGTTCAGTCCGTCACAACTTTTCGCTCATTTCATTTGGTTGTGTAGACAAGTTTCCTTATACAGAATTGTGTACATACCGTAAAATACCGTTGATCCACTCCCCGCACCATGTCGCTTCCCAGCTAGGTTTTCGGGAGGGGGCGGAATTAGATCAAGGCTGTCAAGTGTAGTACGATGTACGACAACGTGGAGGGTCAGACTGGATGTGCTGAATTTTGCACGTTTTCATCCTGGATTGGCACGTATTGTGTACGGCAGTGCATGCGTCGGTTCAACATCGTATTTCGTTGTATACGCCGAAGTCGCTTCACAAGTAGAAAATTGACAGGGGGGGGGGGATTAGAGAGGGGGCGGGTCAACGGTACGTTACGATAATAATATTCGCTGGGGAAGTTTCTTTTGTCCAGTGTTTTGAAAATGTTGGACTAGTACAGATTTGTCTAGCTTTCATACCTTTCAATGTCCGTATGTGAAATGGTGAAGTGAAATGTATAGGAAGTTTCCCTGATAAGGATTTTTGCATGTGCAATATATGGGTTCAATGTTTTATATCTTTATCTTCTGTGTGTTCCTTGTTGCTGTTTTCAGGCCTTACGTCCGCGCAAAGGGACGCAAGTTCGAGCGTGCCCGTGGTCGCCGCTCCAGCCGTGGATACAAAGTGTAATCCGCTATTTCTTACCAGTCGCCAAATTAAACCCGTCAAAAAACCACGTTCTCTGTGTGTTTGTGCGTGTCTGCTCCGAACCTGCTCAACCCCCATGGGATCCGCATGGCCAGATTATGGTAGTGTGTCCTTCAGTAGAGGGGCTGAGCCTGGAAAGTTCTTAATTTTCAGCAATCTGGCTGCATTCTCATAGCATGTTCTTAGAAATGATTCGTACTGGATCATGTACATTTACCCAATTTCAAGCTGGACATTCTTCAGAGCGAGGTCGAAATCCTCGCTTATACTAGTTATAATACCGAGTGCTGTATGTGAACAAAATGTTATCTAGACATTCTATGTCACCAAGAGGCACACGCATGATTATGGTAGGCGCTTTGAAGAATGTCCAGCTTGAAATTCTAAGAAGGCTCCCATGACGTCGGGCCATGGCATGCGCCATGTACATGTACTCCACATTATAACTCTGGAATGATGTTTTCCTCAAAAATGGGTAGATTTGAAAAATCAAAAAAAGATTCCAAAATGAACCAAATGTGTGAAAATTATTCACTCTTTGCTTTGGCAGCAAGATGGCTTTTGCCTGTCGACATATGTCCACACAGAATAAGACAATTAAGAGTCCTTCACTCTTGGTATAACCAAGAGTACATAACCCACCTGGTTATGTACTCTTGGTATAACCATGCACGTATACAACTTTGTCGTACACGTATACACCCTCATGGACCGGTACGACTTTATAGTACATTTTCAACATCATGTACTATAATTCTAGTTTCTTGCACACTCTCATGAATAACGTGGGTTGTATGCAAAATCTCTCAAAAACGAGGATGAAAGCCCAGCACTACGCCGAAAATCGCGGTATCTTGTTTGTTTTTTTCGGAAGTGTAGGCACCATTTTGCTGTCCCCGGGGAAAATTGCGGAAAAAATCGCAAAAAAACGCGGCATCTCGCGGCGGCAAGTTTGCAGTTGATATGAGGCAATTTTCAGTGAGTATGTACAAGTCTCTGGTGTAAGCGCTCGTCATACTTGAGTACAAAGCCGCCACCGGATGAGACGTTGCTGACCGAACAGTGCACTGTGTGTACGTGTAGTGCAACAGAAAAGTTCAAAAACGCGGGAAAATCGCGAACGCGGTCTTTTAAAAAATCGCAAAAAACACGGAAAAAACGCGGCCGCGGAATCGCAATTTTCCCCGGGGACAGATTTTGATATTCCAGGGGATGGCCCACGCCTGATACTGCCACTGCATAAATCATACGTAATGACTGATAAAAATCTGTGAAGTAAGATAAAGGCCCAACCCTGCATGCATGCATGCCCTGCCAGCTATTTGGGCTTACGGGGGTCGCCATGGCAAATATTAATGACGGGAAGTGCCAGCTTCGGCAGCAACCCGCGATATTCATGTTAAAACAAAATGGCGTCACGATTTATTGAAAGTGGTATAATTGGTGGAACGAGTGTTCAAACCCATTTGAACTTCATACTGTTCGTCTTCTTTTTGACATGCTCCCTTTCCATCGTCCTTAGCTTTTATTTGTTGAGAGCTGTTTTGGCTTTCTCCTATACATGTACCTCTGGGGGATGCCAAGTGATGGTTTTGAGAGGCTGGTGATGGCTGTGAGCGAGAGTTTGCCGATCGGCGTCGTCCTCGCTATAGCGATGAAAATACTAGTTACCGCGCACCTGGCAGATATCACAACACGTCGGAGCGTCCAGGAGCAAAGGAATCTTGGGCTTTCACTGGAATCTAGTTCCTCCAGCATCGTGTAGGCCACCGTCGGTGAATGGCGGTCCAGAAAGGTCGAACCTGGTCTTCTGCAGCATCTCGCAGTCCTGCGAGGCACACTGAATACGCCTGTCATGTATTCTACTAATAAAAATCACGAAGTTGTGGACTTTACAGTGATGAGTCTATCCTGTATGCTGCAAAAGACGCAGGAAATGTGACTGGTGTCTGTACACTCAGTGACTGGACGCCAACACCCCAGTCTTCTCCTGCAGGATCTGTTTGACATTGACATTATGCAGTAGGTCGGTATTGACCTGGTTTGGCAGCTATCGTTATAGTATCTGCCTGGTTGGATGTAGCAGGTTGGTGTTTGCTCGTCGTCCAGTCCGGAATTTTCTTGTAACTCACGGTGGAGTACGCGCAGGGTTTGTGATCATCCCTGTTCACTTCAATATTATCAAACACAACGTTCCCTTTGTCACTCATCTTATCCTGAGTACTGAATTTGCTGACAATATTGCACCATACTTGTCACAACCTACCGCCACTGCTGGCGGTGGCGACTGGTTCGTCAATGGCGGTGACCAGGCTGACTGACTAGCTTCGAGACAGCGGCCTCGTTGTCAACCCCGCGGGTGCCTAAAGGTTGATTTTATCGATCCAGCCTCAGCACCATGTTGACGATGCCCTAGTGACTGTGTGTCATGGATTGCCTTGCCATCAGCGGTCATTGCCGTCCACCTTGATGCAGCCCTCAACAACTGGCTCAGCCCATGGGAGTCTCAAGTGGACAAAATTGTTGCCAAAGTAGCTCAGAAGATTGGTGCATCGTGGTGTAGGTGAGCACATAACTAGGACTTCCCAGCGCCTATTTGTCCAGACTGCGATACTATGTGACATGCTGTACTGCACATTCTTTTCAGCACTGCAAGGCCGGCAGCTGGACCGACTGCAGGGGCCGCGCACATGCAGGCCGCCTGTTGCCAGTGCAGCATTCTGGAACGTTCCTTCCTTCTGAGATCCGTGGAATAATAACTTTCTTTGCTTCAAAGCAAGTTGCTTACCTTTCTGTTGTGCTCCCAGTGTCCTTACAACAATAACCTACAGCAATGTTTTATTTTCCTTTCCATTCCCCAACCAATGAATACTACGATGTCGATTCTGTTTCTTCATACTTTGGTGTGTGCCCGCGCACGCACGTGTGTGTGTATACCTCACTCGCCACTCGAAGTTCTGTTCCCCATCACTGGAACACTGCCTGTTCTTTCAGGACCTGCCATCATCTGCGGATGGGCATTCAATAATTGTATTGTGTGTGTGTTTCATTCAGAATCAGATCCGCTATCATTGCTATTAGAGAAAATCTGTGGGTTCACATCCAGTGCATTTTTAGATTTGCATGCTTTTCTCGCCACGGGCGCATACATGGGACAGTAGAGAGGTTCTGCACAACGAAAGTTCGAACGAAGTTTCGCGACAGGCCTTGCGAAAGTGTGTACGAATTTTCGCACGAACTTTGTGTTCTGCACATTTTCGTAGTTTGCACGCGCCAAGTGCACGTACGACATGACCCAATCTCACGAAACTTCCTACGAAAGTTCATTTCGCGTTCCCTGCAAGTTTCGCGTCCAAAGTTGCGAAAGTTCGTGCGAAGTTTCTCACTTCGTGACGTAGAGCGAAAGTTCGTACACATTTTCGTTTTGCAGAACCTCTCTATTGTGTGTGTGTGTGTGTGCGTCTGTGTGTGTTGTGAACCCTCTGGTTCTCTAAAGTATCAGGAACGAACGACCCCACACGGCACGAGGACAACTATTTATTCTCAACAGTATATTTCACTTCCATCGACTAATAACAATGAACAATGAATGACTGAAACAACAACTGAAACTAACTGAAACTAACTGAAACTAACACTAAAACCACCAGGTAGTTATAGCGTGAAAATGACAGCGTATATGAGAAAAGCATACACATACAACATACAACTACAGCGCCCACAGCAAACCGCACATAGCGCATGTAGCGTATACTACGTCGTAAACATCAACGGTACGGCGGAGTCGGGATACAGCTGCATTGGAACGAACACAATGTCACAAGCGAGAAGGCCTTTCACTCTCGAGAACTTGTGGTTTCACAACATTCTCCCCACCAAAGGGCTTCTCACCGCCGTACAACTCACAAGTCAAACGATTTGGGGCTTACTACGCGTTATCTGCTGCTGCGGTGGTGGCCATGGTAGAATATCACTAATGCCCACCACTTCAGACAACTCGACATCGCGAAGCTCGCCGCTGTGGGCTGTCGCACACGACACTGTTACCGATTCACTTCGACATGGGGCGGACGCTGAACCAGACAACACACAACCGATACTTTTACCAAGCTCGCCGATGTGGGCTGTCATACACGACACGGTCACTGGTACACTGCTTCGATCCGGGGCGGGCGCGGAACCCGAGAACACACATCCGATCTCTGTGTTCCACACAGTCTCGCCGTTGACCTCTTCCGTGCTAACCAGTAGTATCGCCCTTCTCGTTTCCTTATCTTCTACGCCTTGCGCTTTTATGTCTTGCGCCTCTAACTCTTGCGCCTCTATCTCTTGCGCCTCTAACTCTTGCGCCTCCAATTCTTGCGCCTCTAACTCTTGCGCCTCTAACTCTTGCGCCTCTAACTCTTGCGCCTCTACGTCGTTCGGCCGAGACTCCAGCTGCTTCTGAGCGTCTCCGACCGATGTCACCATGCACTGCACCGACCCAGTGGGCCTTGGATCTGATCCTCCCACTGGCTTCGAATACTCTTCTGACCGCTGCTTGTCTGTAAGCAAAGTCTTACACGCCTTGTCCGGCGTCCTTCCGGGCGAGGCAAGCAAATCTCGCTTTGCTTCCTCATAATATGTACCGACGGCGATGCGCTCGGCCATCTTCTTGAGCTTTTCGTTAAACTCTGTGCGGAGCGCACACTCTTGCCTTCTAGCACTGCGCTCTTCAAACTCCTCGCTCTGTCGGAGCCTCTTCTCCACGTATTCTCTCAACCTATCGCCTTCAAATCCATACCGAATTCCGTTGGCGATAAAGCTGGCTTCGATGATCCATAGTTCCTGTGCCATGCTCGCTTCGTATCCTGGCGTGGTCGCCAAATGTTGTGAACCCTCTGGTTCTCTAAAGTATCAGGAACGAACGACCCCACACGGCACGAGGACAACTATTTATTCTCAACAGTATATTTCACTTCCATCGACTAATAACAATGAACAATGAATGACTGAAACAACAACTGAAACTAACTGAAACTAACTGAA